AGTATCTGACCTTCTCTGGATATTTTAGGGTATCATTTCACTGGCACATTTTTTGCTTTGCTATCTCCTGAAGAATCAGTTGATTATTACTGAGGTAGACTCTGTTGTATCTTGAAGTCTACATAGCTTGAAATTATAGTTGCCCACAATTTCATGTGCCTATTTGCTTTCTGCTCCTGTAAAGATTTATACCTTCGGAAACCGTGTACAGGGTCACTATGAGTGGGAACCGACTTCATGGCACATCACTACCACCACCACTCACATTGCGGAGTCCTGGTATGGCGCTGTGGGTTAATGCGCCAGACTGCAAAGCCATTTGAACTGCAAGGTCAACAGTTCAAGCTCACCAGCTGCTCCTCTGAAACCTTATACAGGGTCGCTATGGGTCAGAACCAACTGGATGGCACTTAACAACAACAATCACAGTTGCATCAATAAACATCATGATAAACTAAGGAAAGCTTGAAGTTGTCAAAGATTTCATTTTACTTTACAATTAATACTTATGGAAGCAGCAGTCAAGAAATCAAATGATGTATTACATTGGGCAAATCTGCTGCAAAAACCTCATTAAAATGTTAAAGAGCAACGATGTCACTTTGAGGACTAAGGTGTACCTGATTCAAGTCATGGCATTTACAATTGTAACAAATACATATGAAAACTGGACAATGAGGTGTTACACTGGAGCCCAATGCTGCTGCCACTGTGTCAATCCACATCATTGGGGGTCTTCCTTTTTTGGCTGACCCATGATGCCCTTCTCCAAGGATGTGTCCCTCCTGATGACATGTTTGAAGTATGAAAGACGAAATCTTGCTATCCTAGCTTCTAATGAGCTTTCTGGCTGTGCTTTTTCCAACACAGATTTGTTTGTTCTTCTGGCAGTTCCTGGTACTTAAATCCTCACAACTAGACCAACAAATAACATCATGATAAATGGAGAAAAAATTGAAGTTGTCAAAGACTTCATTTTGCTTAGGTCCAGTATTAACATCATGAAAGCAGCAGTCAAGAAATCAAATGATGTACTGCACTAGGTAAATCTGCTGCACGAGAGACCTCTTTAAAGTATTCAAGAGCAAAGATATCAGTTTGAGGACTAAAGTGGACCTGAATCCAAACCATGGTGTTTTCAATTGCCTAATATGCATGTGAAAGTTGGACAATGAATAAAGAAGACCGTAGAGGAAATAATGCATTTTGGTCCATCAGTATACTGAACAACATTCTGTTGTCATCTGCAGTATTTTCATGGGTCAATTTTTGGAAGATATTTCTTCTTATTCTGTCTTAGTCTAGAAGCTCTGTTGAAACCTATCCATCATAGATGACCCTGCAGGTATTTGGAATAGTTTTCAGGCTTATAGCAATATGCAAACCACCATAGTATGACAAACAAACAAATAGGTTGTGGTGATCAACTTTACCTTCCAATAGTTCTGCATTCTTAATAGTCTATGGAGTCCTGGTGTAGTACTATAGGATAAGCACTGGACTGCCAGTTGCAAGGTCAGCAATTCAAACCCACCAGTTGCTCCTTGGAAACCTTATACAGGGTTGCTATGAGTTGGAGCAGATTTGATGGCACTCAGCAATAACAACAAAAATATTCTTTATTTGCATAATAAACTAACTGTCCAGTACTTGCAAGGAACATAAAAGAGACCAATCACAGGGAAAACTGTGGTCAATCAATTCTTTTTAGCAGAGAATAAAAATATTCAGGAGTCAATTATTGAACCCTTTGTCAAGATTTCCCCTATGACTTCCTGGTTGTAAATCTCCAATGTCAACAGGGTTTTGGAGGTATCATGCTGGCATGCTTACTTGCCCTAAATAGCTTATTCAGATATGGATGACTTGGTGATTAAAGTACACAATCTGTGAAAGTACCAATGGGTCAAGTCTAAAGAGCAAGGCAAATGCTCCCTTTTAGAGAGCATTCTGAATGTACTTCTTTCAAGACAGATTTCTTTGTTCTTCTGGCAGAACATGGTACTTCCAATATACTTGGCTAACACAATAATTCAAATGCATCAATTCTGTGGTCTTATTCATTGTCCAACTTCCACACACCTATGAGGCAACTGAAAATGCAATGGCTTTTGGGTCAGGCACACCTTAGTTCTCAAAGTGATGTCTTTGTTCTTTAACACTTTATAGAAGCCTTCTGCAGCAGATTTGCTCAATGCAATATGTTGTTTGATTTCTTGACTGCTACTTCCATGAGTATTGATAATGGATCCAAGTAAAATGAAGAAACTGACAACTTCAATCTTTTCTCCATTTATTATGATGTTATTTATTGGTGCAGTTGTGAGGATGTTTATGTTCTTTACATTGAGGTATAATCCATACTGAAGGTTGTAGTCTTTGATCTTTATCAAGGTAGTTAAGTAATATCGAGTTGGTTTTGACTCATAGTGACCCTGTATAGAGTTTTCAATGAGCAGCAACCTCCATCTTGCGATTCAAAATGACCTTGCTTGAGGTCGAGTGCGTATCTTATGGTACCACAAGTATTTCAAATCCTTTTCACTCCAGCAAGCAAGGCTGTATCATCTGCATATCTCAGGTTGTTAATGAATCTTCATCAGACCCTGATGCCAGGTTCTTTTTCATAGAATCCAGTGAGGTCAAAGCTTGGGAGGAGGAGGTATCCACTTTTGGACTTCATGCCTAAGTTGGTATCCTATGATATGTTTACTCTACCATTATGGTCTTAGTGGTGGTTCTGAGGCATGTATACCATGCTTGCTGGTCTGGTATCCATGGAGACAAAAGGGTGCTTCCCCACCTTGCGATTCATGGAGAACTCGATCAGAGTGATCTCCAGTTCAGAGGGCCTTTGGCATTCTAGCAAACTTCGTCTTGGTATGGCACTATGGGTTAGTGTGCTGGACTGCAAAGCTGACTGAACTGCAAGGTTGGCAGTTTAAGCTCACCAGCCGCTCCTTGGAAACCCTACACAGGGTTGCTATAGGTTGGAACCCACTCTATGGCACTTAACAATAACAACAACAATACCCTTTCTGGGAATCCTGGGGTGGTGATGTAGCATAAACATTTGACTGCTAGCCACAGGTGGTGTGGTTCAAACCCACCAGCTGTTCCTCGGAAACACTATACAGGGTCTCTGTGAATCAGAAGTGACTCCACAGCACTTAGCAACAACAACGTACCCTTTTGAGGACACAGGAACAGTTTATTGTTCTTTTGGGCCTTTCAAAGGTTACCGGGATATACTCCAGACTGTCACTGAAAATCTCATTTAGCTATCACTTTGGATTCCCAATGACGTATGGGGGTATCTGTCTGTGGGGCTTGCCACCTTCCAAGTGCTCCAGGAGGAAAAGGGAAACTGCATCTATTGTGTGGGGCGAGGTGACAGTGCCGAACCAGCACAGTTCTCTCCCATTCTAGTTTTCTACTCTTTCTCCTCTAACTCTTTCTTTTCTGCAGTAGGAGGATCTTCACCTGGGCTTGGTTGTCCTGTAGGGTTGCTATGAGTCAGAATCGATTTATAGTAGTGGGTTTGTTTGTTTGTTTGTTTTTTTGAGAACCCTGTAAGGTACAGGTTATTATTAACTCTATCTAAGAAATCAGGTTGCTGAAAGTGCTTGCTGAAAGTGAGGAGAACTTCAAACATTTACTGATGAAGATCAAAGAGCACAGCCTTCAGTATGGATTACATCTCAATGTCAAGAAAACAAAAATCCTCACCACTGGACCAATAAACAACATTCTTATCAATGGCAAAAAGATTGAAGTTGTCAAGGACTTCATTCTTATTGGATCAACTATCAACACTCACTGAAGCAGCAGTCAAGAGATCAAACGACATATTGCATTAGGCAAATCTGCTGCACAGGAACTTTTTTAAAGTGTCGAAGAACAAGGATGTCAGCTTGAGGACTAAGGTGTGCCTGACCTAAGCCATGGTATTTTCAATAACCTCATATGCATGTGAAAGCTGGACAGTGAGTGACTAAGGAAGACCGTAGAAGAATTGATGCTTTTGAGTTATGGTGTTGGAGGAGAATAGTGAAAGTGTCATGGGCTGCCAAAAGAACCAATAGATCTGTTTTGGAAGAAGAGCAGCCAGAATGCTCCTGGGAGGCCAAGATGGCCAAACTTTGTCTCTCATACTTTGGACATATTGTCAGGAGGGACCAGTCACTGGAGAAGGGTATCATGTTTGATAAGGTGTAGGGTCAGAGAAAAAAAGGAAGACCCCCCAACGAGATGGAATGGCCAAGTGGCAGCATCAATGGACTCAAACGTGGCAATGGTAGTGAGGTTGGCCCAGGATTAGGCAGTGTTTCGTTCTGTGCATAAGGTCGCTACGGGTCAGTACTGACTCGATGGCACCTAACAACAACAACAACAAAGAAATCAGGAAACAGTAACATGTAAGAAATTCAGTAATTTGCCTACGTCTATAGTGGTAAGATTTAAACAGAGGCACTTACACTCTAGAGCCCAGGTTAACCACTACTTCCCTCTTTTTTCTTCACTGAGTCAAGTGGAGACTTTTTTAAACCTTACAATCCTACTGGCATTTCAGACTGGCCCATCACCCATGCTATGATCGCCCTAGACTGCTAGGAGTTAGTTGCTTCTGCTTCTGCCTTTCGAACATTTAATTGTGTAGAACTTTTATAGTTTAATCTTTGCAAACGACCTTTTTAAAAATAGCCTTTTGGAGATATAATGTAGATATCATAAAGTACACTCGTTTAAAGTTGGCCATTCAATGATGTTTAGGATAATTACGGAGAATAGAATCCTGGCACATTTCTTTTATCAGGTCATTCCCTGGGTTCTTGACGTGGGGACTACAGTCTTATTATAAGTCAAAACACTGACACAGTGCAGAGTACTCACCAGGCAAGGCAGCCACGGTTTAACCTTTGCTTCCCACGCGCGTCCCCGCTTGCTGGGGCCCCTGGGAGCAACCCCCTTCTCCTCGCGCGCGCTACCGCCAGCCAATCATGGCCGCCAGCAGTCTCGCCAGCGAGTCGCCGCAGTTTATCCCAGGACTGCCTCCCCGACACCTGGGCAAGATACCGGTCCTGGGACTGGGCACCTGGAAGGTAAAGCTGCAGTGCGGCCTGCACTGTGCAGCGCCTTTTACTTTTTGTGCAATGCCCAGTTACTTAAATCAGCACCTGGTGGTTTCGGTCTGGCTGGGCACACCTCACGCCAGAGGCTTCTTGGGAGCGCCCGTTTAGTTGCCCCGGCTGCCTGTTCTCAGGTGTGTCCTATGAAGTCTGACTTATTTGGTGGTGGTGGTAGTGATGTGCTGTGGAGTCGGTTCCGACTCATAGTGACCTTGTATCGGGTTTCTGAGAGTGTAAACTGGACCAGAAATTCTCATCTTTGTCCTATGCAGCGCCTGGTAGATTGGAACTAGTAACCTTGTGGTTAGCAGCCTAACTTGTAACCCACTAAGCTACAGAGCTTTCTTAGTGATTTAGTGCTGCGGCAATAAATATGGAGTCCTGGTGTAACACTGTAGGATAAGGACTGCTAACTGAAAGGTTGCTGGTTCAAACCCACTAACTGTTCCTCATAAATGTTACATGGGGTCTCTGAATTGGAACCAACTCAACGGTACTAACAACCACAGCAACAATAAACAATAAAAGCAAGTGGATGCCTTTAACAAACAGAAATTTCTTCTCTCACAGATGAGGAGGCGAGAAGTTCATATTCAGGGCGCCAGTTCCAGAGGAAGATTTTCACTTGCTGTCAACTCACAGTTCACATTTAGGATGATTTTTTCCCTAGTAGAGTTTTAAAAGTTTGTTTTGTGGTTCTGTATAATAAACAGTAGACCATAAGGTCAGTTTGAACGGCAAGGTGATGGTTCAAACCCACCAGCTGTTCCTAGGAAACACTACCCAAGGTCACTATGAATCAGAACCAACTTGACGGCACTAAACAATAACATTCTTGATCAAGTTAGAGTTCCCTTTTATTGCTAATATATTTAGAGTTTGGATTTTATCCAAACATTGATTGAGATGTTTTTGTGTTTTCTCATTTCATGTTCTAATATGGTGAATTATGTTCATGGATTTTCTATTACTAAGGCATCCTTGCAAACCTGAGATAAACTCAGCTTGTGGTGTATATATGTATATATTTTTTCATATGCATTGTTTTATATACAATTTGCTATTTTTTATTTATGGGTTTTGCAACCACCATTCATTTGTTTTTTTGGCATATGCTCCTTAGTATGGTCGATTACCTTTATGTGAGTATATTGCCTTGTGTTACCTTTACAACCAGACTGCATGGTCTTTGAGCGTAGCTGGGACTTATACTTATTTGTATAAGTTATCACTTATTGTACATTAAGTTCTTTCTTTTTTCATTCAGGAAGAACAGTCACATTACAGTATTATTTAACTCAGTACTTTGCAGACAGAAAGCACACCTATAGGATGTTTTCCTCAAAAGTAAAGAAGTTGTAACTGAGCTTATCTATAAATTCTTGTCTGACATTTCCTAATTTTAAGACTGTTGATACTAGTACCAATTCAGTGACTTAATTTTTAAAATGTATTGTTTGACTTTGTATTACAGAGTGAAAAGGGGGATACCTGTGGGTGGGGACTTCCCTGAATGTGGGTGCATTACCTCTGTTTTGTTTATTTCACAGGCTGCCCCAGGAGAAGTGACAGAGGCGGTGAAAGTGGCAATCGATGTGGGATATCGGCACTTTGACTGTGCTTACTTCTACCACAATGAGAATGAGGTTGGAGCAGGGATCCAGCATAAGATCAAGGAAGGCGTGGTCAAACGAGAGGACTTGTTTATTGTCAGCAAGGTGTGACTTCTCAGCCGCAGGAGAGTAGGATCTAGGCCATCTGGCTTGGATAATGAGATCAGAAATAGAATGTGAAGGATCCTCCAATTTCCTCATTTCACGGGTGGGGGGGTGGTAGGGGGGGTGGTGGCTTTGCTTTGTACTTGAATCAGAATTTTTGCCCTTTAGTGAACATGCTGAGTTATACTGTGCATAAATTTATTTGTTTCATCTAATTTATTTGGCCATTGAGATTGGAGACACAGAGATCCCTCAACTAACAATTCATTCATAAAGCAAAATGTATTGAATGAGGGACACTTAGGTATGCAGTGGTGAGTAGGACAAAGTCTCAGACTTCTTGTATTCAGTTTACACAATGATTCTTCAACTCAGAATTACCTGGAAGTGCTTGGAATACTGCTTCTCGGTTCTACCCCATATCTGCGGAATAAGAAACTCTGGGAGTAGTGCTATATGAAAGTGTTGGGGGTACCATCACAATCAGGGATCAACTTGAGCCAAAGCACAAGGCAGGAAACAGGCACAAGGCTCAAGCAGGTATAAGAAGTTTGGTATTTCTGGAACAAAAAATGTTAGGCTGGAGAAGCTGACAGGGGCCAGATTAGGAACTCTTGGTATGTCATTGTAACAAACGTATACTTTTTTCTATAGAAAAAGGAGAACTATTGAAGGATTTTAAGCTGGGGAGCTTATATATAAGTGAGGTTTATAATGCCTGGTGGTGCTGTAGGATCAACACTGGACTGCAAACCATAAGGTCGGCAGTTCAAGCTCACCAACCACTCCTCGGAAACCCTATACAGGGTACTAGAGGCAGGAGACCAGTTACCAGAAACTAAGCACCGTTTTAGGTGGGAGTTGATAAAAACATGAAAGAGGGCAGAGAGATGGGTGTACATGGAAGATAATGAGGTGGTAAGTCCTGAAGAAAATAGACAAGACAGCAGAGAAGTAAGGAGTTAATTTGCTTTTGACTTTGAAGCAGAATGTTACAACGATTAGATAAGGAATCTAAAGGTTCAAGTGATGTCATTCATGAGCTGAGAGACATTAGCTTAGTCATTGGACAACTCAGGGTCACAGCTGCATCAATTGTAAAATGACAATTTGTTAAAATTTCTAGAATGATTTCCATGGGTTTAAAACTCCATAATTCCATGATAGAATGCTGTTTCTGTAGTAGATTTGCTTTTTTTTGCTTTATTTTAATTTTTATAATCCATCATTACCATCTACGGATAGAGTAGGGAGGTGAAGAGGATAAGTCTCACTGTGCGTGGCTGGGCAGACAGACTTGGGAATGAAAATTGCCTATGAGTTCTCAAGGTGAAGAGATGAAGTTCTAAGACTGGCCCGTCTTAATTATTTAATGTTGCTGTTACAGAAATAATACAAGTCGATGGCTTTAAAGAACAGAAATTTATTTTCTCATAGTTTATTTTTACTGTTGTTGTTGAGAAACTAATATTGTTTCTGAGGAGCGACTGCTGAGTTTGAAGTGCCCACCTTACGGTTCAACCCCACCTTGCAGTTGAGTGCACAGCCTACAGCCCCACACCAGGACTCCAGCCTTTAAAATTGCTGTTGTTGTTGAGTGCCTTCGAGGCGGTTCCTACTCATAGAGATCCTGTATAGGGTTTTCAAGGAATGGCTGGTGAATTTGAACCGCCGACCTTGCGGTTTAAACCAACTTTGTGGTCCAGTGCATTATCCCACAGCGCCACACTGGGACTCAGGCACTACTTAAGTGGGAAGCACAATATAGAAATTTTTATTTTTTCTTATATCCTCTATGTCTGCAGGCATTTTCTTTTTTGGTTCTAGTAGATCCAAGTAACCAGTCAGTCCTCCCTCCCATCAAATATGTCACAGTGTCGTGAGTTTCCTGTTCAGTAGGAACTAGACACAGGAGCCCAGCTTTGGAGATTCCCACCCTGAGGGAGTCATGAAACTTCTGAGAATAATGTTGTTGCCCCCCTCTGAATTGGTCATACTCTACTACTGTAATTACCTCTTAGATGCTTTTGGCTGCCCATGTACTGGGTCTGTGCAGGCAAAGAGCGAATAGGTCCACACTGGATTTGTGGCTGTGTGTCATGGTGCTTTCCTCCTCTCCTTAGCTATGGTGTACCTTCCACAAAAAGTCCTTGGTGAAAACAGCCTGCCAGAAGAGTCTGAAGTCCTTAAAGCTGGATTACTTGGACCTGTACCTCATACACTGGCCCATGGGTTTCAAGGTACGGTTCAGTAGGTGGTTGATACCCAGTCTGCAGTATCTTTTTCTTTCAGAGTGTGGTGGAAAGAGGATAGTACACAGTGAGGGCACAGGGGCTCATTTACTGCACAGCCAGAAACCACGTGGTTTGGGAAGTCACTAAATATCTGAGTCTCAATTCAGGAGACACTTGGGCTAGAGAACCTCTGAGGCACTCGCACAGTTCTAACTTTCGATGGCGCTTTCTTCCACGCCAGTTTTGATTTCTTTCATCAAGTCCAGATAGTGGAAAGTCCACTCCCCCTCCCCACCTCCTGCCTTCCACCATGGGGCTTTTAAGTGAGAGCAGATAGCAGACAGAAGAACTACTGCTGCTCAAGGCCACTGCCTGTTCAGATGCCAAGTCCCCAGTCAATTCTGGCTGGCTGTCTACTTGTCACATTCTGTGCCCTTTAGGGGTTGACTGCTGTTTTGCAATACTGGGGTATTTGGTTGTTCAACCTGCAATGGGTTCAGTTGGTTATATTATTTTTCCATTGGTTTTATTCTCTTTTTATTTAATTGAATCTCATATCCCATCTCTCACTTTAAAATTCTCTCAGATCTCCTGTGGTTTATCTCCACCTGGCTGGTGGTGGGTACCTGTTTCAGTCTTATGTTGTCCCTTCACATCTGCCCCATTCCAAAATGATCACCTGCCTGGCCAAGGACTTAGTCACACAGGTGGCACATGTGAAATATGGAGTCCTTCTGTGACCAGCTGCTCAGCTGTCTCCTTTGTGTTTACCTTGTCTCGTAACCTCCAATTGTTGTTGTTAGGTATCTTTGTGTTGATTCCGACCCATAGCAACCCTACATATAACAGAATAAAACACCGCCGGGTCCTGCACCATCCTCACAATTGCTGTTATACTTGAGCCCATTGTTGCTGCCACTGTGCCAATCGTGTATGGGGTCTCCCTCTCTTTCGTTGTCCCTCAACTTTACCAAGTCTGATGTCAATCTTCAGAGACTGGTCCCTCCTGATAACATGTCTGAAATATGAGAGACGAAGTCTGGCCATCTTGTCTTCTAAGGACATTCCGGTTGTACGTCTTCCAACACAGATTCACCTGTTCTTCTGGCGGTCTATGGTACCTTTAATATTCCTTATCAACACTGTAACTCAAATGCACCAATTCTTCTATGCTCTTCCTTATTCACCGCTCAACTTTCACATGCATAAGAGGCTATTGAAAATACCATGGCTTGGGTTGAGTGCACTTTAGTCCTTAAACTGACAACTTTATTCTTTGAACACTTTAAAGAAGTTTTGTTTAGCAGTTTTGCCTAATGTAATATACCATTTGATTTCTTGACTTCTGCTTCCCTGAGTGTTGATGGTTGAGCTGAACAAAATGAAGTCTTTGACAACTTCAATCTTTTCTCAATTTATCTTTTTTTTTTTTTTTTTTTTTATAATTAAATGTTTTTATTTTGGATTGAGTGAAAGTTTACAGGGCACATCATCAGCTTCACATTCAACCATTCATATAGCTTGTTTCATTACATTGATTATTATCCCCTCCATATATCATCAGTTTACAGTGTTTCTCTCTATCATCTTTAGCTTTTTTGGGGGGGGGCTGGAGAGGGGGGGAACTTGCCTTTTTGGAATTTACAGTCTCGGCTTTTAGGGAAGGTTTTTACATTTGTCCGTGGATATCCAGGGCTCATGTATGAGATTACTAACAAGCATTACTGAATAATCAGATGAGGGACAGTTTGCTATGTCTACTAGGTAGCTAAAGTCTGATCCTCAGAGCCTATGGTTTGGATGGTCAACAACGCTTGGGCCCACAGGGTCTTGACCTCCTGACTGGGTCTGCACAGTCTGCATCAGATTCCCCCTTATTTATTGTTCAATTTATCTTGATGTTATTTATTGGTCCAGTGGTGAGGATTTTTGTTTTCTTTACATTGAGATGCAACCCATAGTGAAGGGTTGGTAAATATTTTAAGTCCTCTTCATTTTCAGCAAGCAAGCTTGTATCATCTACATATCACAGGTTGTTAATGAGTCTTCTTCAAATCCTGATGCCACATTCTTCTTCATATAATCCAGCTTCTTAAATAATTTGCTCAGCATACAGAGAAGTATGGTGAAAGAATACAACCTTGGTGCACACCATTCCTAATTTTAAACCATTCAGTGTCCTTTGTTCTTTTCAAATAACTGCTTCTTGGTCTGTGTACAGGTTCCTCATGAGCACAATTAAGTGTTCTGGAAGACTCATTCTCCATAATGTTGTCTATAGCTTGTCATGATCCACACAATCAAAAGCCTTTGCATAGTCAGTAAAGCACAGGCAAACAGTAAACATCTTTCTGGTATTCTCTGCTTTCAGCCAAGATCCATCTGATGTCAGTAGTGATATCCCTCGTTCCATGTCCTCGTCTGAATCCACTGTACAAGTTCCTAATGAGCACATTTACCCATTTATCACAATATTATCCATAGCTTGTCATGATCCACACAGTCAGAATCTTTTTAATAGTCAATAAAGCACAAGTAAACATCTTTCTAGTATTCTCTACTCTCAGCCCAAAACCATCTGACCTCAGCAATTACATTCCTATGTCCATGTCCTCTTCTGAATCCAGCTTGAATTGCTGGCAGTTCCCAGTCAATGCACCATCCCAGCCACTTATGGATTATCTTGAGCAAATTTTACTTGCATGTGATATTAATGATAATTGTCCTATGATTTCTGCATTCCATTTGGAATGTGCACAAATATGGATCTCTTCCAATCAGCCCAATTTCTTGGCATAGATGAGTGAGTGTCCCATCAGTTTGCTGACAGATTTCAATTTGTATTCCATCAATTCCCAGAGCCTTGTTCTTTGTCAATGTCTTCAGTGCAACTTGGATTTCTTCCTTCAGTACCATTGGCTCTGGATATGGTTAAACATAGATCATTTCTTTTTGGTACAATGACTGTGTGTTCTTTCCATCTTCTTTTGATGCATCATTCATTAGTTTGTCAAAAGAATCCTACGGTATTTCCAGTCAAGACTTGAATTTTTTCCTCAGTTCATTCAGCTTGAGAAATGCTGAGCATATTCTTCCTTTTTGGTTTTCTAACTCCAGATCTTTGTACATTTAATTGTAATATTAGACTTTGTCTTCTTGAACTGCCTTTTGAAATTTTCTGTTCAGCTCTTTTACCTCCTCATTTCTTCCATTTACTTTTGCACCTGGTGTGTGCCAAGCAACTGGTTATCTTTTAAGATGAAAACACTAATGACTAAAATCTCTTCATTTTGAATGTAACTTTAGTTTAAGGCTTTGTATGTAATTTCAATAAAGGATATAGGCCACTCTACTTCAGTCACATGAGTAAAGAACAGAAAATGCCCTGAAAGCAAACTAAGAGATAATGATTCAGAAATGATTTTTGTATCTTTGAAATTCAGTGTAATTTTTTTTAGACTAGTAGTTAAAAGATAATAATAGAAGCTAATAATGATATGGAGTCCTGGTGTGGCACTGTAGGTTAATGTGCTGGACTGCAAGGTTGGTTTGAACTGCAAGGTTGGTGGTTCAAGCTCACCAGCCACTCTATGGGAACTGTATGTATCATTCTGTTTTATATCAGGTCACTATGAGTCAGAACTGACTCGATAACACCTAATCACAACAGAGTTGGGAGAGGTCTCAGATCACTCAATAGATTACACAGTGGAAATCTATGAGTATTTGAAAGTTAAGTATATCGAATTTAATTGCCTAGAAGGGAATTCAGGCTTCAGGCAGAACTACTAGGGAATAAGACTCCTTGGGTTTATGCTCACAGCATAGTCAACATATCTCTGCCTAGTAGGAACTTGTAGTCCTCTTATGATTTTTGATGAGTAGTAAGGCAGTAAGGAACCCTGGTGATGCAGTGGTTATGATGATGGGAATTCTTCAAAAGAAGATCCTAACAATGGAGTTGGGAGAAGATTGATGAAACTCTTATAGCATGAAGGAATCCATCTCCCCCAGCAAGTTGCTTACCTGAAATTGCTAATCGATTTTCTGGCATATGACAAAGATTCTAGGTCTTCCTTTCATTTCCTGCCTTATGAGAGGTAGACAGTGATCTTCAGGGCTGTCATGGACTTTATAGACTATCCAACACAACCAGCCATGGTCCTATCAAAGTGAAGGTCTGGAGAAGTGAAGTCCCATGGACATGGTGGGGTTGCTTATTGATAAGTTCATGGTTTGGAGTCAGGTTTTCTGACAAATAATCCAGTGTTCTTTCTGTACATTTGGATTCTGCCTTTATCCATCTCCATATCAGGCATGGCTCATAAGCTCCCTTTCTTCTGGTTTTCACAGCCTGGGGAAAAAGACTTGCCTTTAGATCGCAATGGTATGGCAATAGCCAGTGAAACGGACTACCTGCAAACCTGGGAGGTAAGCTGAGGCACACTGTCTGCCAACTTCTTTTTTTTTTTTTTAATTAAATGTTTTTATTTTGCATTGAGTGAAAGTTTACAGGGCACACCATCAGCTTCACATTCAACCATTCATATAGCTTGTTTCATTACATTGATTATTATCCCCGCCATATATCATCAGTTTACAGTGTTTCTCTCTATCCTCTTTAGCTTTTTTTTTTTTTTTTTTGGATGGGGAATTTACAGTCTCGGCTTTTAGGGAAGGTTTTTACATTTGTCTGTGGATATCCAGGGCTCATGTATGAGATTACTAACAAGCATTACTGAATAATCAGATGAGGGACAGTTTGCTATGTCTACTAAGTGGCTAGAGTCTGATCCTCAGAGCCTATGGTTTGGACGGTCAACAACGCTTGGGCCCACAGGGGCTTGGCCTCCTGACCGGGTCTGTATTGTCTGCATCTGAGTCCTCCTCTGCCAACTTCTTGCATCCCAGTCAATGCATGTCAGAATCAGGAGTTGTTAAGAACTTGAGTTTCTTGTGTTCAAACACACCAGTCTAAACTGCTTGCGACACAGGGTTCGCAGTAGTATGAATTAGGAATGAACACTTGGTTGAAGAACTCAGAGACCTCAAGTGACTTTCTTGTTACCTGAGTTTTACTTTGGTTCATCTTTGAAACATTTGTTTTAGGGGTAACTAATCCAGACCTGGATATCCAGACTAGCTAACATGGCAAAGAATGAAAATTCCAGAACACTTAATTGTGCTCATGAGGAACCTATACATAGCCCAAGAAGCAGTTGTTAGAACAGAACAAGGGGATACTGAATGGTTTAAAATTAGGAAAGGTTGTATCCTTTCATCATACTTATTCAATAATATGCTGAACAAATAATCCGGGAAGCTCGATTATATGAAAAACGTGGCATCAGGGTTGGAGGAAGACTGTGATATACAGATACACTACCTTGCTTGCTATAAGTGAAGAGGTCTTGACATATTTTCTGATGAAGATCAAAGACTATAGTCTTCAGTATGGATTGCGCTTCAGTGTAAAGAAAACAAAAATCCTCACAAGTCAACCAAAAAAATATCATGATAAATAGAGGAAAGATTGGCGTTGTCAAGGATTTCATTTTACTTTGATCCATAGTCAATGCTCATGGAAGCAGCAATGAAGAAATAAAACAACGTATTACATTGGGCAGGTCTGTTGCACAAGACCGCTTTACATTTTTTAAAAAGAGTAAAGGTACCACTTTGAGGACTTAGGTGTGTGCCTGAATCAAGCCAGGGTATTTTTAATTGCCTCATATGCATGTGAAAATTGGACCATGAAGAAAGACTATAGAAGACTTGATGCATGAGTCATCAGTGGACTCAGACATAACAACATTGAGAGGATGGCCCAGGACGGGACAGTGTTTCCTTCTGTTGTACATGGGGTTGCTACTAGTCAGAACCAACTCAGTGGTACCAAAAAGAAGTAACAATGATCCAGACCTCTCCCCTTTCTCTCCCTCAAATATTTATTTTTTTCATTAAAAAATATCACATATTCATAATAAAATACAGAAGAGCTTAAAAGAGTATAAAAGAAAATAAAAAGAATCTGTTTTTCCTTCACCCAGTGTTAACCACTATTAATATTTTATAATGCCTTTTAAAGCATTTTATAACGTTAATTTGGGCAGTGTGGTAATGCTTGGCTTGGGAAAGTGATAAAGTAGAGTTAACAGGTTTATCATGCCAGAGTGCAGATAGAAATGGATAGGGCTTGAAGTGAGGTAGTGACTGTGGGAATCAAGAGGAAGTGGTGGATTTGAGAGACTTCTGGATGTAGAGTTACTGTTGTGGTGTGAGGGGCAGGGAAACTCCCTGGTGATGTAGGCTTCTAGCCAGGGTGACTTAGTGCCTACAGTCTTGCTCACCAACATGAGGAACAGATGAGGGACAATTGTGGGGCATGGGAGGAAAAAGAAAGCATGTTCAAATTTGAGCTTGCTGAGTTTAGTTAATAGCTTGAATTCAGAAGAAGAGATTCTAGAGCTGTTTGTGGAATTGGTAGGTTAAGCCATAGGAGTGCCTGAGATTATCCAAGGATAATGAGGTTAGGGAGGTGGGAATACTGGAGCTAGGCATTATCATTGTCTTTCCCATTTTTAAAAACACGAGTCAGTTAAGCAACAGAGATTAGCCGAGGTGTCTGAGATATTAGGATTGTTGTTGTTGTTAAGTGCCGTTGAATTGGTTCCGATCCATTGTGACCCTGTATAGGGTTTCCAAGGAGCAGCTGGTGAGCTTGAACCACCCACCTTGCAGTTCAAACCTCTTTGCAGTCTGGCGCATTAGCCCACAGCACCACACCAGGATTAGTGCCACGGTATTCTAAACCTTTCTGTCACACTGTATTGCCTCTCCTGAATAATTTGGGTTAAACTTTAGATTATTTACGTAGTATAACTGAGAATGATCGTTACAGAATTGAGACAACATATGGTGCATCTTGATTTATTTGTCCCTGACCCCATGGCCATCAGGACTTCCTGCTGCCTTCTTACACAGACACACAGGCCATATTAGAGGGGCAGCCTGGCTTATTGGTCATTGAACAGCTCAAAGCTTTGAGTGCTCTGCCCTCAAGTTCCTTACCATGTTAAACGGTAAGGGCAGGATAGGAGAATGAAGGGACATCTTTGTGTATAAGAAGAATACTTCACTAATCATGAAGGTGGTGAAAGATACAGGGATGTGCGCAGGAATTAAAGTGAATAGAGGTAAATACTGTTAACTGATGGTACATGGAAGCATATTGCATCATTGTAATGACACGAAGAATATGATTTGTTGAATGTGGAACTAATCTGTTCTGTAAACCTTCACTTAATTCACAATTAAAAGTTTTTTTTTAAAAAAAGATTCTAATCTAGGTGTAAAGAAAAGTAACTGTCATAGATTTAATTATGCCCAACCCCCCAAATATGTGTCAACTTGGTTGGGCCCTGATTCTCTGTGATTTGGCAGTTAGTTATGTGATAATTCCCCATAATGTGATTTTATGTGATAAACCAATGAAGACGATTAAGGGTGGTTTGTAATATCCCTAATCCTGTCACACCCTCATCTGATGTAAGGAAGTTTCCCAGGGTGTGGCCTGTAACATCTTTCATTGTACAAAGATAAAAGGAGACAGAAGTGAGCAGAGAGTGAAGGACCTATTACCATCAAGAAAGAAGAGCCAGGACTGGAGTGTGTCCTTTGGACCTGTGATCCCTGTGCTGTGAAGCTCCTAGGTCCAGAAGAACACTGATTCTAGGATGCTTGGAGATCTCCAAGAAACACTGGGACTATAGATGTTGAAAGGAGGCAAGGACCTTTCCCCAGAGCTAAAAAAGAGAGAAAGCCTTCCCCTAGAGCTGGCTTTCTGCATTCAGAATTCTAGCTTCCTAACCATAGTGGTTACGAATCGGGCTGCTAACCTCAAGGTCGGCAATTTAAAACTACCAGTTGCTCCGTGGGAGAAAGATACGGCTTTCTGCTCCGTAAAGATTTACAGCCTTGGAAACCCAGTGCAGGGTCACTGTGAGTCAGAACCGACTCCATGGTACTTAACAACAACAACAACAAACTGTGATGGAATACATTTCTGGTTGTTAAAACCAATCACTTGTGGTATTTCTGTCACAGCAGCACTAGATAAGTCAGACCATGAACAAATAAAATCACCAATACACATACAGGCAGCATGTCCAACTTGAACTTGCCCTTTTATGTTATGGGAATTTGCCCTCGCTTTGAAATGATTGAACCAATGCCGAGTCACAACAAATTCTTCATCACAGCCAGCTTCACTTGTTACATGTGCAGATTTAAATCACTGAAAAGGCACTGAGCCTCTTGCACTAACATAAGGCTAAATAAGAACTCTATGCACCTGTTCTGACTTAACCTACAAATCTGATTTAAAGACATATTTATGAATTTCGTATATAACCCGAGAATTGTCTGTTGGTTGTTTTTTTTGTAAATTTGGTGCAGACATTTCAAAAATACTGTGATAGAGGAGATGAGGGATTTAATGAAATGGGGAGAGGCCACACCCAAGAATCATTCTTTGTTCTCTTTTAGGCTATGGAGGACCTGTTGATTACAGGGCTGGTGAGATACATTGGGGTGTCCAATTTCAACCACGAACAGCTGGACAGACTTTTGAATAAGCCTAATTTGAGAGTCAAGCCTATAACTAACCAGGTGAGCTTGTACACATTGTGAAAGGGTTTAATGGATGTTGTTGGCTTTCCACCTACTACTTCCAAGTGGCTGTACTAAAATGGCTTGAAATAAGCATTTTTCTTTAGGGTTATCAAAATTGTAAAATACGGTATCAGGCAAGTGAAGGGTTTGATAGACAACTGAAGTTTTTATCTATCTATCTAACACCTGTCTATTTAATACTTCTCTGGTTAGGGTGTTGAGAATGTAAAGCAGGGCTGGAGTTCGAACTTGGTTTTCCACTTACAGTTTTGTGTGAGTCACCAGGTCTGTTCCAAATTGATGAACAGTCCTGGCAGTTCTGTCATGAGTTATGGCATGGTGCTTCCCTTGAAAGCCTCAGGGAAGTTCCCTGTCACGGGTTCTCCAGCTGTGGAGATTCTTTGCATTAAAGGGATGGATAACGGAATGACTCTCTGACCAGCTTCACAGACTCTGGCTAACCCTGTGCTTTGTACTTTCCCCCTGTAATACGGAGAGATGACTTTTGAACAAAAGTCTGTTGCATTTCTAGATTGACTGCCTGGCTTTATATATTGAAAATGTTTATGTCGTACTTTATTTTGCCTAAGCATTTTATTAAGGTATGAAGTGCACATGTTAAAATAGAGCTTGATGAATTCTCATACAAGAAGGCTTCAGAAAGTTCATGAGAAAATTGAGTTGAATAATAATGGGATTTTTCCATGAACTCTCTGAAGCCCCTTCTAAATAGTGACCAGCATCCAGATTTAGAAAGAAAACATCACCCGTACCCTAGAAGTACTCCTGTTGTGCCCCACCTCTGCCAAAGGGAGCTACTATTCTGGATATTAGCAACAGAATTCGCTTTTGAGCTTTTATATAGACAGAACAATATATACTTGATTCTTTTGTGTCTGGCTTCTTTCACTCAATGTGATGTTTGTTAAGTATGCCTATATTTGTGTATGATTGTAAAGTGTACATTCTTACTTCTCTGTGAACGTACCAGAGTTTAGTTATCTAGTCTCCTGTCGATGGACTGACTCTTGGGGCTATTAAGAATATAGCATCACTTTTTAAATAAATAAACTTATTTTCATTTGCCTGTAACATACATAAGGAGTACTGGTATGGCACTGTAGGATCAGCACTGGATTGCTAACCACAAGGTTGGTGGTTCAAACCCACCAGCTGCTTTTTGGAAACCCTATACAGGGTCGTCGTGCGTCAGAACCAACTTGATGGCACTTAACAACCACCACCACATATATACAGAATAGTGGATAAATCATAAAATTTCACAAGTGGCTGTACTAAAACGGCATGCTGTAAGCATTTTTCTTTAGGGTTTTCCAAATTGTAAAATATGGTATCAGCTAGGCAAGTGAAGGGGTTGGTAGTAACGTATTCATATATTCAGCACCCAAAACTAGAAGCAGAATATTCTTAGCCTTGCAGAAACACCTCTCATGCCCCGTTCCAGTCACTAAACACATGGAGTAACCACCATCCTGACTGCCAATGTAGTTTAGTTTTGTCTGATTTTAAACTTTATAGAGCAAAACCTGTGACAGCCAGGACCTGTGTATGGCAGAATCCTGTCAGAGAAGGAAAACGCAAATATTTTCCTTTGTTGGAGAGAACTAGAAAAGTATTCACTGCACCCTGTCAAAGGCAGAAAACTTACGAGACCCGGAAAACCTGGAGTCCTGGTGTGGCACTGTGGGTTCATGCGCCAGACTGCAAAGCCATTAGAACTGCAAGGTGGTGGTTCAAGCTCACCAGCTGCTCCTTGGAAATTCCATACAAAGTCTCTATGGGTCAGAATCGACTCAGCAGCACTTAACACCAACACCAACATCCCACTGCACTCCTGTTCTCACAGGTGTTACTGTGCATGGAGAATCTGTGTGTAAGAGATTCTGTTTTGTGTTGATTTTTATGCTGAGCAGGACTTTAAATAACTAGCAAAGATTGTTGCGTCGTCTGTAGGAATGAAGTGGGTTTGGACAGGTTTGGTTTCTAGGATTGTCAACATTCAGGAATGCAGAGTCTTTGGAAGTGTTTTCCGAAAGCCAGGCCGGCTTTTCTTTCTGAGACTTTCCTGACTGCTGATTTTGCTATGTTGTGCTCTGCACAGTTCTGTAAGCCTGTTTTGCTACCCTCCAAGGCTCTATTGATAGTTCCCTTCAGTTCATGATAAACAAGTATGTATTTTAGGGTGACTTACAACCTGGGGTTGTGCATGAGAATTCCTAGAATGTAGAGAAGACAGAAATCTTTTAAAAAGTTAGTAGGAATCACCTATATAGCATGTATGAGGGGCTTCAAAAAGTTCATGGAAACAGGAAATGAAAAGATAATGGAAATTTCCCATGAACTTTTTGAAGCCCCCTTGTATTGGCATGTACAGCTCCCCTGTTTTCACTTATTCCTTCAACAAGTGTTTATTGAGCATCTTCTATGTGTACATTGCACTAGGTATTGCGGAGACTTCCATGAACCAAACAGAATTCCGTGGCTTCATGGAACTTACATACTAGTGGCAACAGATAAGCAATTTTTTGTTGTTGTTAAGTTGTTAAGTGCCTAGAGTCAGTTCTCACAGTGACCCTGTGTAGGGTTTCCAAGGAGCAGCTGGTGAGCTTGAACCACTGACCTTGTGGTTCAAACTGACCTTGTAATCCAGCGCATTAACCTGCAGCACCACACCAGGACTTTAGATAAGCAACTAGCAAAAGTATATAGGATGCCAGATAATGACAAATGTTGTAGAGGAAAATAAGGGCGAGAAGGGAGATCGGACTTATTAGAGAATTGCTTTTTTTTAAATTGTGGTTTTAAAAACTTTGTGATATATACAAGTGATTTGCTTTCTCCCCATTATGCACTAGCTGTATTTATCACAGTATCACATTGTCCAACCATTACCACTATTGGTTGCCAGATTTTCCCGTCGCCCTTAAGAGAAGCTCAGTGTCCCCATTAGCAGTGAGTCCTCCCTGCTGGCCCCCTATGGAAGGTTACAGTTTTCGAGTATGGTAATCCGGATGGGCCTCACTGAGAGGGTGGTATGTAAGCATTCAGAGGTCACAGGTATTCCGTGAACCTTTCCAGCTGATTGAGTTGTGGTGATCACTGAGTCTAACCTGTACAAATGAAGACACTCAGGCCCAGAGGTGGGTCACATAGCTTGAGAGCACTGGAACCAAGATATTAATGTCAGTCTCTCTACTTCTTTTGAAGAGTTTAATCTGAATGTTTTTTGTAACTGTGATTCTATTTGTAGATTGAATGCCACCCATATCTTACACAGCAGAACCTGATTCAGTTTTGCAAATCTAGAGATGTCTCCGTGATTGCTTATCATCCTCTTGGTGGTTCTTGGTAAGATATGTCAGTGGTTGTGTTAATCAAGGTCCTAGCAGGAAGTATATGCCACACTCTGAATTCAGATAGTTGTTGTTGTTAAGTGCTGTCAAGTTGGTTCCGACTCATAGTGATCTTGTATAGGGTTTTCTGAGAAGTGGCTGGTGAGCTTGAACTGCCGACCTTGCAGTTCAAACTGACCTTGTAGTCCAGCGCATTAACCCATACATAGTGCCACACTAGTTAGAAGAAGGTTTAATGAAGATGTGCACAAGGCGTAGAAAAACCACAAGGGAGCTTGTAGTTGGAATGGCTAATGCCTACAGATGCTATGGACTAAAGGGAGGGAGCTCTTACTGGAAGCCAGAAGGAGTCACTTTGAGAAGGACTGCTTGAGAGTTGTTAAGTGCCCTAGAGTTGGTTCTGACTCATAGCAACCCTGTATAGCATTTCCAAGGAGTAGCTGGTGAGTTTCAACCACTGACCTTGAGGTTCAAACCAACCTTGCAGTCCAACATTTTAAAGGACATAAACTACCTTCAGGTGGCTTCTTTTGCTAATTTCTTGATTAGCACATCTGGTTTGTTCTTAAACCTCTCTCTTAAGGTACTCCACAGACATCTCAATCTCTATGTGTTGTTCAACCGTTACCACTATCATTGTTGTTGTTGTTGTTGTTAAGTGCCATCGAGTCGGTTCCGACCCATAGCGACCCTGTAACAGGGTTTTCGAGGGTGTAAATCTTTACGGGAGTAGAAAGCCTCATCTTTCTCCCGCGGAGCAGCTGGTAGTTTCGAACCGCTGACCTTATGGTTCACAGCCCGATTCGTAACCACTACGCTACCAGAGCTCCTTTACCACAACTCAAATTCGACATGTCATTTTCTTCCAGAACCTAAAATTTGCATATCAGTTAATGAACTGCTACCATTCCGCTATCTAAGCCAGAAACTTGGAAATCATCTCTTTCCCATCCTCTCAACCCACTCCTCAACACCAAGATTTAGCGGCTATTCTGGTAGATGAATTTTGTTTGTTGATCTGTAGTCTTGCCATTAAGGAAGGAACCCTGGTGGTGCAGTGGCTAAGCACTTGATGACTAATCGGAAGATCAGTGGTTTGAACCCACCAGCCACTCCTTGGGAGGAAGATGTAGCAATCTGCCTCTGTAAAAGTTATAGCCCTGAAAACCCCGGTGGGGTAGTTCTTCTCTGTGCTTCATGGTCATTAGGAGTCACAATTGACTTATTGGCAATGGTTTTTGGTGTCACCATCATTTTAAATAACCTCATATGCATGCAAAATCTGGATGGTGAATAAGGGAGACCATAGAAGAATTGATGCTTTTGAGTTATGGTGTTGGAGGAGAAGATTGAAAGTACCACGGGCTGCCAAAAGAAACAATAAATCAGTTTTTGAAGAAGTGCAGCCAGAGTGCTCGTTGAAGCCCAAGATGACCAAACTTCGTCTCTCATACTTCAGACATGTTGTCAGGAGGGACCAGTTGCTGGAGAAGGCTATCATGTTTGGTAAGGTGGAGGGTCAGAGAAGGAGATGAAGACCCCCAACGAGGTGGATTGGTCAAGTGGCAGCATCGATGGACTCAAGCATGGCAACAGTAGTGAGGTTGGCCCTGGATTGGGCAGTGTTTCATTCTGCTGTGCATAAGGTTGCTATGAGTCGGTACCGACTCGATGGCACTTAACAACAAACAACAATATCACTCCTCTAAGGAGCCCTGGTAGCGTAGTGGTTAAAAGTCAGGCTGCTAACCACAAGGTCAGCAGTTCGAAACTACCAGCGGTACTGCTGGAGAAAGATGAAGCTTTCTGCTTCCGTAAAGATTTACAGCCATGGAAACCCTATGCAGGGTCGCTGTGAGTTGAAACCAACTCCACGGCATACCACCACCACCATCACTCCTCTAGTTAAGAATTCCCTGAGGTTATTGTAAGTGTATCTTAACTCCTTCCCTCCCTCCCAGATTTTCTCCCTTTGATCTATTTCCTGCATGGTTGTTAAAAGGAGCTGTCTCAATATGATCATATTGCCTTCTTCCCTGCTTAAAAATTCTCCAGCTCTTGACATGGCATTGGAAGCTCATCTGATCTGGACTCTCTGCCTGCCTCTGACCTCACTTCTTTCCCTGCTTACAAACATTCTATGCATCTACCATATGCCACTATTTGTGTTCCCTGGAATAGGCCATGTTCTTTGAAGTATGTTTGTCTTTGCATATACTGTTCTCCCTCTCTCTTGTTTTTTGTTTGCAAATCTTATCTTTTTTCCCTTTTTAAATCTGGCTAACTCCAATTTCTGATTTAAGCTCCAGGATTCCCCTTACCCATGTTTTGTTCATAGAACCAAGTCACACTCTTCTTGTCATTATTTCTTCTCAATCTCCTCTACTTGATAGGGCTATTTGAGAGCAGAGGATGTATTTCTGCATATTATTCATTACTATGTTTCCAGCCCCTAACTCAGTATCTGGGATCTGCTCCTGTAAAGATTACAGCCTAGAAAACTCTACAGGGCAGTTCTGCTCTGTCACGTGGGTTCCCTATGAATCTAAACCAACATGATAGCCTAAAGTAGAAAGTTGTGAAGTTAGAAAGCCCTTAAATGTCAGCATTTATGGCTAGTCTGGATTCTAGCAGAAAGGCATGCTAAAGTCTGATATGCTCAGATATTGCTGTTTCTTAAGGAAACAGCACAAAATGTACATGAAAAGCAATGATGTGTAGTAGCTTTATTCACCCAAATGTTAACAGTGGTTATTTGTAAAAGGTGAGATTTAGGTTGTTTAAGTTTTTTGGAGTGGGCATTATTGTGATTAGAGAAAATCTGTTTTGCTGACTTAGGAAAATATGTTTAATCTTTTAGCTCACTAACCTGGGCCATCTCTTTCTAGTGAGGGCGTTGACCTGATGGATGATCCTGTGATTAAGATGATTGCTCAGAAGCACAATAAGTCTCCAGCTCAGGTGTGTAGACACAGGACAGTCTGCTTAGTGGGCAGTGGGCTCTTGCACATCCCTTTGGAGTCTTTGGACTTTGTGGAGCAGAAAAGGGTTAGCTCCTTCTTGATGAATTGATTAATCCAGCATTTCCAATGTTTTCTAGCACGTTTCCTTCAGTCAAGCTATTCACTCTTGCCAATCAAGACCCAGAGTGTGATTTTCTACTTGTAGAGATCCTAGGCAGTCTGGGTCCCCACCAATTGAATTGATAGCTAGTATAAAGTGGGACAAAGGGTCCCTGGTGGTTTAAAGTTTGGCTGCTAAGCAAAAGGCCAGTGGTTTGAACTCACCAGACTTTCCGTGGGAGAAAGATCTGGCAGTCAGCTTCCAAAATGATTTACAGTCCTGGAAAGCCTATGGGGCAGTTGGACTCTTGTCCTGTAGAGGTGCCGTGAATCTGAACTGGATCGGCAGGAACACAGTGTTTTCATTTTTAATGAAGTGGAACAAAGAGGTAGTTTATTAAAATCTTTAGACTTGTTGGGCAGATTGGACACATATTAATGAAGTCTCATTAAGGTGTAGGCAGGTCCTCTAACCTTTTCCTTGGGCCCAGTGGCATTACACACTTACTGGCAGACATACACACAGACATAATGGTAGAACTGTTCAGAAAATGTTAACTTGACTTCGAAAGGACTTTGCTATGAAAGCGTTTATACTAAACGTTCCTATTGTCCCGGACTTTTGGACCTTCCCTGTATAATAAAATTCAAACTGTTAGAAAAATTGCTTAGATTTGTCTCCATATGATTTCCTTTTGTGATACTAGATTTCTTTTTCCCCTGGCAGATTTTGATCCGATTTCAGATCCAGAGGGATGTGATAGTGATTCCCAAATCTGTCACTCCGAAGCGGATTCAAGAAAATACCCAGGAAGGTGTTTGTTTTCTTTTCTTGGGGAGGATTTAGGATCATGCATGAATTAGGGTGGGTCATCTATGGTAACAAACCACCCTAGGACCCCTGTGGTTTGCTGCAGGAGAGGTTTATTTCTCTGTTCTTACTAGTTCACTGTGGGTGTTGGTAGTTAGCTTTTTACTCAGTGAGTCAAGGACGCAGGTTCCTTCCCTTTTAGGGCTCCACTGTCCTCTAAGGCATTGGGTTTTTCTTTATTCATCCCACAGATGGGGAAAGAGAAAAGAGGAGCTTATGTGGGAGATTCTTAGGGGCCATATCATGTCCACTGTCACTGAATTGGCAGTAGACAAACACAGGCCATACCAAACTGCAAAGGAGGCTGGGATGTTGTGTGCTTAGGAAGAAGAGGAAGCAGGGTTAGGGGTGGGGCAGCTGGCCATTGTCTGCCGCAGGGAGGCTTGCCAACTGGTCATTTGGTAGTGGCTGTCTAGACTGTTATGTTGAAAAGGTTTTCAATCCCGACTACTGCTTAGTTTCCTTTGAGAAGTGGGATGGAAACTGACTGCATAGTTCTTATTTTTTGGCCATAAGGTGGCCACAACTCTGAGAGGAAATGATCTCTTTGAGGGTTTTTTTGTGTTGTTTTTTTTAACCTCAAAGAACTTCAGTAGTTTGTGAAATTTGTCTGAGGAACAATATGTGGCTTTTATATAAGGGCTATCAACACTCATGAAAGCAGCAGTCAAGAAATCAAACAGGCAAATCTGCTGCACAAGTCCTCTTTAAAGCATTCAAGAGCAAAGATGTTAGTTTGAGGACTAAGTTGCGCCTGACCTAAGCCATGGTATTTTCAATAGCCTCATTTGCATGTGAAAGTTGGACAGTGAATAAGGAAGACCTAGAAGAATTGATGCACTTGAGTTATGGTGTTGGAGACGAATAGTAAAAAGTACCATGGAAAATAAACTAATCTGTGTTGGAAGAAGTACAGCTAGAATGCTTCTTGGAAGCCAGGATGGCTAGACTTCATCTCTCATACTTCAGACATATCAGGAGGGACCAGTCCCTGGAGGACATCATGCTTGGTGAAGAGGCCACTCAGTGAAAGAGGAAGACCTGTAATGTGATGGATTGGCATAGTGGTATCAGCAATGGGTTAAACGATTGTGAGGATGGTGCTGGACTGCGCAGTGTTTTATTTTGTTTTGCACAGGGTCACTTTGAGTTGAAACTGACTTGATGCCACCTAGCAACAACAACAACAATAATAAACCTAAAAACACAGTTTATAGCACAGTTATTAAAATCATGCACTTGGGACTCAACAAACCCAACCCATCTCACTCATAGCAGCTGTTCAAACCTCTCTTTAAGTTTAGTGTTTTGTTTTTTAATCAGTTGTTTTTGTTGTTGTTGCTAAGTGCTGTCAGGTCAGTCCTGACTCATAGCAACCGTGTATAGGGTTTCCAAAGAACAGCTGGTGAGTTTGAACCGCCCACCTTTTGGTTCAAACCAACCTTGTGGTCCAGTGTTTATCCTACTTTTAATCAGTAAAGTAGGATTAATCAGACTATCCAGCTCATAGGATTGTTATGAGGATTAAATGCAACAATGCATATAAATGGATTAACCTAGTGCCTGGGATACAGAAACATCTGATCTTAGTTACAAACCATCACTATCAGCATCACTGCCACTGGACTCATCCTTGAAGCTATTCCATGGGTGATAGATAGCCTTAGTAGACCACATCCATTAATCATGTCACTATGGACTGTGAATGTGGCAGTAGCTAGGCAACTGGATATCTAGTAGACATTGTTCTCTGATGCCCAGAAGTGTACTGTCGTGTGGGTCTTTGAGCGCCAGGAGGGCACTATTGTAGCCCTAGGGCATAGGACAATAGCTAGTACAAAACAACTGCTCAGTAAATATTTATTGATTGGATTGACTGATACTCTTGGGCTCACTGTGGATGGCAGGTTGGTTGGTGTGCGGCACATCTTCGTTATTGGAAAGTGTAGTATTTCCCGTTAGTGGAGGCGGGATACATAAGATCAGGAGACCTTGGAAAAGGTTCAGAGTACCTTGTGATCACAGTACTATTTCTATTGGCTACCTGTCAGTGGAAGCCCTGGTATGACACTGTGGGTTAATGCACCAAGAATGCAAAGTCATTTGAACTGCAAGGTTGGCAGTTCAAGTTCACCAGCTGCTCCTCCAAAACCCTATACAGGGTTGCTATGGATCGGAACTGACTTGATGGCACTTTACAACAACAAGAAGTTGTCAATGGGGAATATGTTACCGTTCCTACCTCCCACCTGTATATACATCCTTCCTGAGTCGTTAAGTTATGTAGATCAGCTAAAGGAGACCAGTTAGCCAACCCTTAATTAAGCCTGAAAAACATCGTCAAGTTTGTCTAAGTTGTAAGCTCTGTTCTTTGTGACTTCTGAGGGGCTTTCTGGAATTATGCCTCACATCTTGAGCTAGCTGTAAGAATTTGACAGATGGTAGCTGACTAACTTCTGGCCTGCATGGAGGCTGAGCAAAGGGTACCCAACTAAGGTATCTTCTATCTCCTGCAGTACAGCCAGGGCTCAGTAGGGGAGATGCTGTTCCTGGACCAGCCTGTCAGAATCAGGCAGATGTGTGGCCTGAGTGACTCAAACAGCTATGTTGTAGTGAACTAAGGATGGAGACCAGAGGCATTCTAAGAGGAGTAGGATGAAGCATCAGTCATTTCAAGAAGGGTTAAAAGCTGAGATAAGCATTTATGCAGGGAGACCCCAGCAGGATGGACTCACACAGTGACAGCAACAGTGAACTTAAACAAAGTATCAAATGTGAGAATGATGCAGAATCAGGCAGTGTTTCCTCACTATGAATCAGAATTGACTCGATGGCACCTAATAACAACAACAACCAGAGCTGGGTCAATGGGATTAAATAAGCAAACAGAAGAGGTGTTGAGCAAGGCCAGAGTGCTGAGGCTGGTCCTTACAGTGGGGATGCTGGTGGACTTAGCATGATACTATTTCTCTCCACCCCAGATACCCACTCAGTAATGCTGAGCCAAGGCTGCTCCAGCCTTTAAAATGTGTTT